TTAGTACCAAAATACCATCTTACTGCCAACAGGTAAAAGAAAGACTTCCGTCAGAACTGCAATTTTGACACAAAGGTGATGAAAGCATTAGTGGGAATTGTCAAATTTGAGTCAAAACTTTGGAAACTTTTGGGGTTTTAATACAAAGCTTTCTAGTTTTAACAGAGACCACCTTATCCTTAAAAGAAGAGAGGCATTTTCTTCCCCCAAGGTTTTTTCAGCAACCTGTGGTAATGGTGGTTACTCACTAAAAAAATTGACGCGACATCATTAAGAACTAGAACAAGAGGGGGTTAAACAGCGTAGCAACACGTCACAGGAGCTCCCGCAGCCGGCATGGCTTTCCGCCCCCGCTCGGGAGGCGTGAAGCAGCATCGGGCAGCACGTGCGGTACCAGAGGTTTTTTATGCAAGACCGGGACAACTCCCCCGGCCCCAAGGGAATTAAGTGTTAATATTAGTGTAATAAACAGCAAAAAACTACAAGGCACAGTTAAACAGTTACTATTGAGAGCAACCTTTCTTCTGAGAGAGATGTATCTGCTTTTTGCTCTTACATGAAATACCTTAATCGGGAAGAGCCTTTTAAAGCCACTTCTGTGCCGGTTCTATTGCAGTTTAACATGCGGTCGTGTGAAGAACAACGTCCTGGCATTTTCAACCCTAAAATGAAACCGCATTGTACAGCTACACAGGAGAAGTCACTCACATCCCCGTTCACAAGCTCCTTGATCAGTCATTATGCAATACAACTCTGGAAGAAGAACAACTATAAACTGTTCTTCAGTTCAACTAAATTATCAATGGTGATGTGTTTTCACTCATCTTCACTCCAGTTCTACTTACCCAGTTTTATCTATCAAAGCCTTGTGTTCTGAGCAGTTACTAGGTAGTGCAGCGTGCGTACATTCCTGAAAGCAAGCTTCATTAAATTCACCAAATAATGCTGATTTGTTGGGAACACACCTCCTTTCCAATTTCACAGAAGCCTGATAGTAACAGGCTCCGTTCTTTTGTTCAGGAGAGAGCTTGATCTCTCCCCAGTCTATGACCAGGCTGGAAAAGTCCAGATCCATTATTCTCTTTTATTTTGCTCAATTATAAAGGGAAGGAGGCTACTTCAGAAAAAAATGACGATTTGTGTTGATTCCCAGCCCGCACCCATCCCAGGAAACCCTGCAGTAAGATCATCTGTGGTACCGTGTGACTCCAGAGGCGATGGAAAAGCTCCCCCACCGCGGGCTGCAGAGCAGTAGGATACGTTACTACTCGTGGAGAAGCAGGCGTTATTCTAACCTTGGAACTACTCTGACCTGCCAGGTAATTTAGACTTTAAGTTTCCAGGGAAGCTAAGCAAACCTGCTCAGTTTTTTGATTACTTCTGAGTCTTCGGATTAGCTGTGCAAGACCCAACTTACTTCACCGAAACCTTTGCAGTGCCGTAGGCCATCCTGATGTCCTAACTGCTTTGGCTAGGTAGGCAGAAAGAAGCCCCAAGTTTTGGCACCTGCTGCATTCTGCACTGAAGACATTTTCTTTACAGTCTCGCTTTGACCACAAAGCAGAACTCTGTAAAGTCATGCTGGCTACTTATTTTTAGCAGTCGTCTTTCTCAGAGGAAATACGCAGTTGTACTTCACCTCGGGTGAAAAACCCACAACTGCTCCCAAGTTCAGAGAGATTTCCTGCGGCAACGCTCTGGGCAAAGACAGTACTTGTTGATACACGCCTTTCCCAGCCTACCCAGCATCTGGCCAAGGGATCACTGAAATATGAGCAGGGACAGTCTTTGTTTACTCTATCCACAACACAGGTTTTCAACTGCTTGGAATATAATCATTTATTTATCTTTACAGTGATGACGGAAGAATGTACAGGTGTTTTCACCCATAGGTATAAAAATCTGTTTATATACAGAGTCACAATAATCTTTAATTGTGAAATCATTCTGTTCTCCTGATCCATCCTTACTAAAAACCACAGGAAAAACAAATATTTAGTACAGGCAATATAATTCCAGTAGGTTTGCAACCTGGCATCAAAAGCTCAGCTTTAGATTAAGGGTAATGTTCGATATTTTAAAAAGGACTTTAAGTCATAGGACACAAAATAAAGTTGCTTTTCAAATAAGATATATACATCAAAAATAGGAGTCTAAAAAAGGCATTGGTTTTAATGCTATTAGAAAGCTATATAAATGTGCATGGGTCCATTTCTTCTTATAACGAAAGACCGAAGGAGAAAGTGCCTCTGTCTTTTAGGAAGTTCCTCCTGGGACAAGTCAGTTAAAAGTACCTGTAAAAGAGAAAGAAATAACTCCATTTGGAAAAGTAAAGGCTGATGGTTGCATCAATTAGGATGACTTTGTTGGAGCAGTTATAGCTGTGTTTCAGTTCCATATTGAGAGCACACCATAAATAGTTCATAAGCAGGTAACAAAAAATTAACACAACGTAAGTAGCTCCTCAGTTGTTGAGAGTCCCACAGATGCCTAGTTACTTTTTCATTACGCACAACCCGCATACGTAACAGGCTTTTAACATCCAGCCGCTTTCACCACACACCCTCCTGGCTCATTACCCAGGCTTCTGCCGTACTTCACTGTGGCCTTAAATCACTTTCTGAATGTTTGTTTTTTTTAAATACAGCACAATGTGTACATAAAGTTTCTTAGTATAAAAAGACCGTCCTGGAACATTAGTCTGTATAAAGGAAAGAAAAAAAACTTGCACCTTCCAAGCTATTTTACTTTAACTAATGCACTTACTTAAAAATCTTGGTTCAAGTCTATAATTAAAGCCACTAGGGAAAAAAAAAGCAGTTTTACAGAACAGAGCCAACACATGTACATTGACATGTACATTGGCTATGCACATGTAAATAGGTAATGAGTTCACAGGTTGATTGAAACTCAGGGTCTACTGATCTAACGGATTTCTGCAGAGAACCACAGTACCAGTGCAAAAATAACCACTCCTACGAATAGATTTATGACTCCATTACAAAATAATTATGTTATGCCAAATTAAAAAAATTCAAAATGACAATTTGATTCTAAAATGGCAAAGGTTTGAAGTATCACATCTTAAAACAACGTTCTTTCTTACTTCCTTTAAAGTTATCCATAATTAGACTTTTATAGGTGAAATAATTAGGGATTAAGCGTTTAATAGTAAATAGCTGTAACTTAAAGTAATTAAAAGATTCCAGTAGCCCGGAAAACATCGAGATTACTGGCCCATTAAGTGGCCAGTTGTCCTGGTTTCAGCTGGTATAGGGTTAATTTTCTTCCTGGCAGCTGGTATAGCGCTGTGTTTTGGATTTGGGATGAAAATAATGTTGATAATGTCCTGATGTTTTCGGTTGTTGCTAAGCAGTGAAGGACTGCTCAGCTTCACATGCTGGCCTGCCAGCGAGCAGGCTGGGGGGCATGGGAAGCGGGGAGGGGGCACAGCCGGGAGAGCTGACCCAGGCTGGCCAAAGGCATATTCCATACCATATGACACCATGCCCAGTACATAAACTGGGAGAGTTGGCTGGGGAGGGCTGCTGCTCAGGAATGGGCTGGGCATCGGTCAGCGGGTGGTAAGCAATTGCATTGTACATCACTTCCTTTGTATATCATTTTATTATTTTTATTTCCCTTCCTTTTCTGTCCTATTAAACTGTCTTTATCTCAACCCACAAATTTTACTTTTTTTTAGCCAATTCGCTCCCCCACCCCACGCGTTCAGCACCTGCCGCGTTAAACCACACTGCCAGTGAACAACGCTGGCAAACAGCTCTTGTCCGTAACGTAAAGATCAAACTTCCCTTTACGTTGCACTGACACTATAAGTAATAAAAATGCCTGTGCGTTAGAAACATGAGTATTCAGGGCCTGGTGGGTACATTATAAATACATTTTGTTTCTAATTATAAGAATTTACTCAAGCTACACACCCTTGTATCTGAAGCACTAACCTAGTGCGCAGTCCAGATACTGAGTGCAAAAATAACATCTGGCTGTTGGGTGCACCAGGCTCGTATTCTTTATTTGGGGGGGGCCAAAATGCCATGGAATTACCACGGGATGCCATGGGTTGAATACCAGTTTGAATTTCAGGAGCCTTGCTAAAGCAGGTCACAGCCTGGCAACTTCCATCCTATGTTTACAAGTTACCTGAACACAGTATTCATAGTGGCACAAAAGTTAACTTCTTTGTATCTGTCAAATAGGAAATACATATATTATTTTCCCTTGTGGGTAGTAACTCCAGAACAAAAAAATGAAACTAATTCCTTTAAAATTACACAGCCATCTCCAGACAGAATTCTTAGGTTGTTAAAAGTTCTGCTAACTCTTTATGAGAAGGTCAGATCTCAAAGCTGTGCACTTTCATAAATAAGCACTACAAGCTCAATGGAAACAAGAGAATGCATTGCTGTTCTGCAGATGATTAAAAAGAAATTTCTCTTTAAGAAAGTGTTTGGCAGATGTTTACAGTACTAATCTGTACTGTAACACAGGTATAAGATACAAAAAGATGCCTTGGAAAATTAATTCGTAGAGGTATCACCCATTTAAAAATAAATAGGAAAGTTTCAGGAACTTGTTATGTAATTTTAGTAAATTCAATTTTAGAATCAAAAAGAACAGAAAAAAGGCCAGTTACTTTGATTGTTTTACCCCAGTTTCACATCAATTATTAATAATATTGATTGTCAGAAAATATACCTGCAATGGTTTCTAGAGACTGGGTTTTTGCCATAAAGGATGAAAAACATCGTTTTTTCCTCCCTGCTGATCTGTCCAGCATTTAATGTGAGGACGTTCACTTCTACATATGCAAACTCACCCCAGTGTTCTGCTGATACAGTGCACATCCACCAGCACCCGTGTGGGGAGAAAGCAGGAGTGCGTGTGTCTGATATACTGCTGCCCACCGAAGGACTGCCAGCAGCTGAGGCAGGTAAATCTCAGAGTGTGCCTCCAGGAGATGCGACTCACCTGAATTCTTTTTATGCTTCATCTCCATTATCCATTTCTACATCTATATCTTTTGTTGTGTCAGCCGCTCGTGACAAAATGTCTGCCATTAGTGCTTCCTCCAGTTTTTTACGCACTTGTTGCACCCGCTCTTCTTGTTTTCTGAAGGGAGAGAAGGGAAGAAGGGGCAGAAAAGTCAATTCTTCAAGTACACTAGTAGGCTGGGAGCACAATACTTGCATAAACAATGACTCAGGACTGGTTTCTCAACTCTTATTTTAACTTAGAACAGAATATGATAGAAAGTTCCAGTTGGAAGTGACCTACAATGATTACCTAGTCCAACTGCCTGACTCCTTCAGGGCTTACTAAAAGTTAAAGCATGTTATTAAGGGCATTGTCCAAATGCCTCTTACACACTGACAGGCTTGGGGCATCGACCACCTCTCGAAACCCTTACTGACTAGTTCCATTCCCTTGCACATACACAGCCGCACAGACAGTGCTTGAGAGCGCTCTGAGCCAGAAGCCTCTCTGGTTTAGCACGCATGGCTTACTTTCCCTCATACAGAGACAGTAGGATTTGATGCGACAGATGATCTTCCACTCTCAGATTAGGTACTTCAAAGACCAAGCAGAAAGTTAATGGAGCAATATCCCACTGGACTTTTTTTTTTTTTTTTGGCAGAGACATTTTAGGGTAGAAGACTGCAAATCGCAGCAGGAGATCTGAGGCAATCTCCCTCTTTCCCGGTGTAAGGGTGTGTACACCAGGTGCACCTTTACAGCATGGTGGGACAATAAGTAGGTTTCTAAGTGCTCCAAGAACCAACTCCACGTCCCACACAGTGCGTGTGCAGGGGAAGAACCTCAAGAAGCTTCACTGTTTCCATTTATTTATTTAATTACTCCTACTTATCTGTTCAGTCTTAACTCCTAGTCAGTGATGCATTTAAGACGGCAGCAACTTCTGCTGAAACAAAGGTTTGTTTCCCTGGGGAAAGTTAATTCAAAAATATTACCTCGGATATCAACATGAATTTAAGATATTTTGATTCAGTGTTTAGTTTGGAAGGTAAAATTTAGCTTTCAAATGCTACCAGAAAACAAGTAGTCCTCTTCTGAAGTTTTCCCAAGAGAACACAAATTTTGCATCAGATCCAGGGCTTTTTATATGAAAATCCACTTGTTCTATCAAGCTATGTTTTCCAAAAAAGAAAATCTTTAAACAAAATATATGCTTAAAAATGGCCAGAACGCATCAGAAGCAGGCACAGGAAAACACTTCTTCGCGCCGCAGACTCCCTGTGGCTGCTTAGGATGGCAGGACAGATACAAAGTACATCAAACCTTAGAAGAGCAGGAGCAATATCCAACATGCTCCGCAGAAGCCAGAAGCCTCTGAGAAGCACCAGCCTCGAAGGCTATTCTATTCTTACGGCTGCAACCACTACCAGCACTCCCTAAGTACTTCAGAGGAGGCTGCCTGCTAACAGAGACAGCAACAGGAAGAAAAAAAAGAACACGCTAGTAGTTCAGTACAGAACTTGTTTTCTATTTTCCAGCTGTGTTCTATCCTTGTTTTCTATCTTCAATATACAGCTTACTGTCCCAGGGCTGTTAACTTTCAATGCCTAAAGAGTGATCTTTCAAACCCTGGGGCAAAGAACGGAACAAAAACAGATGTCTTATCTTTTGCAGAACCTGTGTAACAAAGGAGAAGTAAAAGTTAGAGTAGCAAATTCAGTATTTCTTAATTGAACGAAAATGATCCCAAGAGCACACATAAGCTGAAATACAATTTTAAAAAAAATCAGTAATAGAAAGTTGTCACCGTCTCATTGTTTGAACATGCTGTGAACTGGCCAACGATTACAGAAAATAAATAGTTGAAGTGTATTTTATTTTTCCCCTTTTTGGCTTTAGAATTTTGACTTTAAGACAGTAGGATCTTTCCACAATCCACAGCCTACAAACTCCATCACAGCAGGCTTCAGACTACAGTCAGTAGCCGTTTACACCAGCAGACCACTTCCCTAGATTCCTGGTGTGCTTCCTTACTTAGGTCTAATTCAACCCATGATGATAAATACAAACACTTAATGACAGCATTTTTTTAAAAATGCCTGAATGATCAAATCAGAGAGAAGAAAGGTGCTGGAGTATTTTTATAAAGCTCCCCCTTTAGAGTGTGAAGAAAATTCCAATGAACTAAAACACAGTAAGGACACTTCCTTATTCTTACAAAGAATGGATCAAGAATGAAATGTAAATGCTCCTCGAACATGGTTCTGGTCACTGGGCATTTTAAGTGTATCTCATGGAAAAGTCCTGAAGTATCATATATCCAGCGAAGTTAAGGGTAATCATCAATCCTCCCATTGTCAAAAAAGTCACAGGGCATTTAGACAACCTTACCCTCTCAGTAACCTGAATTAAGCCATGAACAGCTGAGCTGGGAGAGAAAGGAGGCCCATTCCAGGCTGTGAATACTCCATAACATCGTAACGTCTGTATCAGAGAATGCACTTGCCAGAAAGCGCACACGAAGTTAATCTGGAACATCCTTCCTTTCTTGGTGCTACAAGGTCCTGCCTGCTTTGCTCTTCAGTGAGTCTGTTGTCCAGACATGGAATCTAACATAAAGGCCAGCAAGTATCTTATATATCAACTTTAAGGAGTCTGGCACAAAAAAAAAAAAAAAGTCATAAGCTTTACCACCTCATTAGGCTTATTTATTTGAGATCTTCTTTTAAATATACTTAACTATGCTGATGAAGTTTTGAAAAGCATGTGCTGAAGCATAAGCTCAGCCTGTCCTAGATTTCAGAATCGTTAATCCTGATTTGTAACAAGCCCCTTCCTACCACCTCAGACAAACAACTGTAGTATTTAACTCTCACAATACCCAGAATTGACAGCCAGTTTTCTGTATCTCTGACTAGCTGCTGTTATTAAGGGCCCCGGTTACCTATTTACAGTGTTATGTGGCCTTCTTCAGAGGTCACTCCCAGGTCTTGCTTCCCAAACTCAGGTGAAGACATAGCTTTCCCCAGTTACCTCATTTCCAAATTTTCAGCTAGCTAGTTGATCTCCCAGGGAGCAATAACCAAAAAATAATTCACAGCACTCCCAGTCCTGAAGAGTCTGGTCTTCGAGCAAGCAGAGTATTAAAAACACAGTTCTTTTTATACAAATAATATGACTTGTAAAGCACACGAACTACCAAGAGCAAATGTTTAAGAATCAACAGCAAAAAACACCACTAATAAAAAGTGCTCATCTTTAAGTAAAACTCTAGGACTTAGAATACCTCCATTCAATTTGATTAATTCGACTTCTTATGCTAATTTATCACAGCCGTATTAAGTGAAATTACTTTAGCCCATTAAGCCAACGAGGCTAGCAGTGCTGCCAGGGAGGGCAAGCCTGCTGCTCACAAGTGCCCACTCTTCGCTACCGGCCCGTAGCCCTTCAGCTCCCCAGCACCGTCCTGGCCGTGGAGCTCCCGCACCGCAGCAGCCTGTGCTGAGCCTGCGCACCTCCCCAGCTGCATCACTCGCTGCTAAGCAGCTCCCTGGCCATGTGCTCTTTCAGCCTTCCTCCCAGCCAGACACAATCCTCATCCTTTAGTTTAAATACTATTGCCTTCGAAAGCAAGCTAAAATTAAAGACACGTTACTCCCAACACAGAAGTCCAGAAGGCCCTAAATTCTGATTCTGACCTTGTTTTCAGTGGAAAACTGCTTTATACAGCAGGGTTGTGTACAGCTCTGCATTCAGATGACTTCCTTGGTGTTTAGAATGATATTATTTGTCTTCACTACTTGCACTCTTCTCGGCCCACACAACTAAGTGATGTGTGTGTGCTTTAAAGACATGTGTGACTCCACACTACTGTATGCAATCAAACTACGATACTGTGCCAACCTCCCTTCTGATTTCTCCATCTATTTTTCTATATTGTTAAATCTATTGAGGCTCCATTTGATTTAGTTCCTTACGTGCTGGCACTGCAATACCAACTCTGTCATCAAAATAAAAAATTGCGTACAGTTCTAGTAATAGCATTTAGCTGCAGCAGAAACACAAAGGTATCTTTACATTTAGGATGGGTGTCAGATTAGATGGGAAAAATCCACGGAACCAGCTTGCCCTTGTCTGAACACCAGTTCCACCTCCCTGTGTGTCAGGACAGAGGTAATCTTTTGCCCCTGCTCTTCCAGCATATTCAAATATAGAATTTTTTGGAGACACTCTAATTGAGAGCCATACCCATAAGTGCTTACAGTAATATTTACTCTGTTTCTATGGAAAACATACTCTAGAGCTTCTCAGCAGCAGCGATTCCAGAAGTCTTCCACTAACCAGAACTGAGATGCACTGCTAAAAGGAGAATTAATTACTAGTATGATGACTGTATCTGCTTATTATATTAAACTCAGGTTGAGGGGCATCTGCTAATTCTCCCCCACACATACACCGCTCCAACGCATCACTTCCAATAGATCTTTCCCATCCCCTCCTCCCCTCTCAGCAGCAATTAACCACTGCTGAGACGCATATTCTCAATGGCAATTACAGAAATTCTCAAATGTCTAGTTACTGTGCTTTCCTGACACACTTGCTATTAAACTCATCTTTAGATCTGGGGTCAGAAAGTTTATCTCGTAGCCAAGATGGTAAGGATTATTTAGGGTTTTGCCTCCCTGCAAGACACATCACTTTACCTTATAAGTTTCTTATTCCTGAGGAGAGCTCAGACTGTGGAAACATTCTCCATCTCTCATTTTCTTCTTTTGGCACATTATAGTTCTTGTGGCCCTGGTCTGTCATACTGAAAATGAGATTCGTGCAGGGTATTGAGGAATATTGTGAGGCACTAAGCTACAGCTGACTAGCTTGGATCAAGGTTCATATAGCTAAAGATTCAGACATTCTTAAACCCATGCCAAACAAACTTAGAGAGCATTAAACTTGAAATATTCTCCATTCCTGTCTCCTGGTAAATACAGCTTAGTTTTCTGACAGATTAACAGATACTTTTTCTTACCCACTAGTGTGCAGAGCATGACACAGCCAGACATATGACATTAATTGTTAATGCTTTGGTAAATTTAACAGGTTATGGCTATCCATAAGAAAATGCAGAAGTACCATTACCATGCTATTTGAAAAGGACAATTGCAAAGACACCTGAGAAAGCTCAGGAACAAAACCTACTGGGTGATGGTAAGCGCTCAGCAAAGAACCTAGACTGCACAAGAGAAAGGACTGTTGAAAACTGAAAGGTGGGATTTTCAGAAATT